ACCGCTCTGTTTGCACTGGCTCACTCGGGTTAAGCAGTGCAAGCCCCCGGGTGCATTAGGAAACCTTGTGCTTCTCCTGTGGCCACGGGGAGACGGACTCACCTTACTCAAGAGCAGCACTTCATTTGTTTACTTTTTGCTCACATGCACAGCCCTATCCCCCTCTTCCTGATGAAAACACTGCAGTGACCTAGGTCAGCATTTCTTCGCTGTGGGCATTCACCCCTGTCCAAGTTGGGGGCTAGTAGCAGTTGTCCTGGAAGGACCAGTGGCCTCCCTGATTCCAAGGCTCTTTCTTGACTGCCTACCACTCACCTTTCCTTAGAAGCTGAGAGGTTTTCCACAAACCTTTGCATTGATTCCTGTGGCACACCCTAGGTTGTGAGATGGCACCCCTGCTTCTCCTTTTTGAAGCATTACGGGAAACGGTCTTGTGGAGTTTATCAGTGAATGTAAGGAGGGTAAGCTTGTGGGGGTCGGAGAATTGAGAGTAGCTGTCAAGCTCGAATTAGTTCTATGACTGTGCTTTGTGGAATAGTGAGAACGCTTTGCTCCTCCTGGGAATCAGCATCGTCTCTCTTGTCACCACTTAAGGCTATTGCTGGTCATTTAAAGGGCCTGTAAATATGAACATTTTCATATCTCAGAATCTTAAGCTTGTTTCTTTTCTTTTTTCCTCCTTAGAATGAAATGGATGACGTGCCCTTCTTTGATATCCAACTGCCTTACGAGTTGGCAATCAATATATTTCAGTATCTGGACAGAAAAGAACTAGGAAGGTGTGCACAGGTAAGCTGTCATTAATGGATGGTCAGGATTTACCTACATGTGTAAGTCAAGTATGGGAAGCTCCTCCATAGCAGAAATTTACTTTACAGAATGACAAACTTTAAAGAATTAATGAGTTGGATAGCAGCTTTACTTGAAGGAAAGCGACCTTGAACATAAATGATTATGTTCCATATCACCATGTCATGTTTATCTTTTTGTGACCGTCTGTCCCAGAGCTGTGTTCCTCCTGCAGTCTGAGTTATGGCTGACCTGTGGCAGCGTGCTCAAGGCTGACAAGGTTGTCCTTGCCTTTACTGAGATCGCCAGACCTGTTAATGTCCTCACCGTTTCTAATGCAAAGATGCAAGGCCTTGGTTTAGTCATGCCAGTCGTTAGGTTGGGAGCTGAGGGTCAGCCTGGGGACAAAACAGTGAAGTCATGTTCCACTGTATGATCCAAATTACCCTTCAAACTCCAGAATTCCACTCAGTGAGGCGAGAGGCATGTGAGAGCTGAGACCCACCGAGGGAACTGCAGATCGGCGTCACCCATCTCATGCCTACTCTGGGGCACGTGCCCATGGCGTGGAATGGTGGGAGATACAGTCTAGGCTGGACTTTATTGTGTGCATGAATCACAGGGGATCTTGATAAAATGCTAATTCGGATTCAGGAGGTCTGGGGTGTGGCCCAATGATCTGCATTTCTACCAGGTGATGCCAGTGTGGCTTTGGCCATGCTTTAAGAGGCAAGCATTTATATCATTAAAGTTAGTCTGTTATTTTCTTCCTTTTGGTGAAGAATGTCTAATTTCTCATAAGTTAAATGTGTATGTGATTGACCATTTGGCTTTTCATGGACAACTGTGTTCCCAGAAGACACTGGAGTATCCATTGCCAAAGTAGTAATTTGTTTAGTGGTTACTGTTTCCCATCCCTGAATCCTATAATACATTTGATACAAGTTTCTGTACCTTCAGGAGAAAGAGTTCGGTGAAATTGAGTGGTAAGAGAACTATACAATAAAAATCCGAAACACCACCATGAATATGCAGGTAAAAATATTAAGGCAGTTTGAGGGTGGTGAAAACTGTAGACAGACTCTAGAGCTGTCTAACTCCATGGCAGTTCAGTGAAATGACACACAATACAGGACAATTTAGAGAGTTTCTGGTTTTACTTTATTCCCCTATTATGGTTTTACCCTATTGTGAAGCATTTTGCTTAATCAAAACTATTTTTCTACTTAAATATGAATTTGAGAACATGTTCAGTATTTTTGATTGCCACAGCATCAGTTAACGGGGGGGTATTGGCAAATATTTTTTGATGCAGGGTGTGGAAATCTTTCGGAAGAAACTATGCAGAGGCTAAAATTCACAAAATAAAAATGTTTGAAGTGTAAACCATGCTCAGAGCGTATCGACTGCATTAAGAAAGAGTACCTACATTGTCTTCTTCTTTGCCTTGGAAGTTGGATTTGTTATATTCTAACTTTACACATTGGCCCTGTTCCCAAGAGTTGAAAACAAGGGTGTAGCTAAATGAGTCCAGCTCCTGGATTTCAGCCTGATGCGGTTAGCCAGAGTCTTGGAACAGGGTCTGTCTAATACCTAGCTTTCCACAAAGTCAGCCTTAGATGATAAAATCTTCATTCTTGATAGGGAGCTGCTGTTTAAGGAATCATTTCTTTTTTACATAGCTTTTGCTCTCCTGCTTTGTAGAGGGCCATGTGGCTTTCACATCTGCTGCTGGTTTTCTCATCCAAAGAGTTTATCAGTGAAAGATAGGATCTGGTGGAAGAAGAAATCCCCCTTTTGGTACAGTGGGGCTGCATTCCAGGGTAGATTGGTTATGCTGGTGAGATTATTCTGCAGGTGTGAACAGTTTAATTTGCAACACAGTAGTCCAATTGTGCACCAGAATTCTTCCCTCTTGGGCCAGTTGGATTTGGGTTTTTGTGGTTGAACCTAATTTTTAGAGCACATGTATAAGAATAGAAAATATACTTAAACAGAACCCCTGAGGTGGCTCTGATCTTCTAAGCCAGGATTTTTTTCGTAGAGCTTTTGCACAAAGATGACGATGGATGGCCAGTAGTTTGTGACTTGGCTTTGTTTTTTTCGAGCATTAAAAGAAAACCACAAAGTAATAAAAATAAGTAGCATTTTCATTTGTTTCTCGTGGTGTTTTTATTTTTGAAACAGGAAAAGGGCCTTCTGTTGAATGGAATGTCCTGCTGCTTTATGATTTTATTTTAGAGGGGGCTTGCTCTCTCCGTCTCGCTCTTTCTCTCTGGTTCTCTTTTAATCTAGCCGCCTTGGGATTTCAGTGAAAGTGGTTGGGCCAGTTATGTGGAATTGGCACCATAAACTATATGTGTGCCCTTGGAGAAAACCTGTTTGCTTAGATCCTTATGCCAAATTGGTAACTGACTAACAGTAAGGAACCCTGATTGGGGCGGACTTCTGAGATTTCATTATGCCACAGACTGTACCGGGGAATTGATTTGGCTCTTGACTTTGTCTCCTTTCTGCATCCCCTCTCTTTTCTGCTTTGTGAGGCTTTACGCGTCAAAACTAAAGTCCCCTCACGTTAGTTTGTGGTCCTGTGTACCCTGAATGCTGACCTTCCTAGCTCCTTGGTGTCCATACTTGTCCCTCGAGGGATTTAGTATCTCTGTGGGAGAGTATCATGCTGGGATGTCTCAAACAGTGTGGGTTTTAGTAAGCAGTTATGCTTGGGGCAGTTCATTGAGCAGTTTATCATTTCACTACTTACAATTTTTTGTTCTTTTGTGTGTGTGTGTGTGTCCACAGGATTTCCAAACACTTTAAAGGGTAATATTTTAAAAATGGACAACAATGACAAAATTGTCACTTTCAAAATTACATAATTGTTTGGTTTTTATGAGAAAAGTGAGTGTGCTGTTATATTACAACATGAGTAATTCTAAGGAGTAAAGGTTTTTAAGTATTTACCAATGTTCATTTAAAAAACTTTAAAAGTAATTAGAAATTCATAAGTTGCAAAAAATAGTGCAGAGAAGTTCTGTGTACCCTTCCCCCAGTTTCCTCCATTGGCAATGTCTTGCAGACTGTAGCCCAATATCAAAACCAGGAATTGACATTTGCAAAGTCCATGGAGCTTATTCAGATTTCACCAGTTTAATACACACTTATATGTGTGTATTTAAGTCTACGCAGTTATATCACGTGTGTAGATTTGAGTGACCACACAGTCAAGATACAGAATTTTCATCACAAGAATCCTGCTGCTCTTTTATAGCCATGCCCTTCCCTAACCCCTGGCAACCTCGAATTTGTTCTCCATCTCTATAACTTTATTTTTTCATTTTCAATTTTAGCATATATTTTAGTTATGTGTATTTCCTAATGTGTAAGTTTAGAAATAGAGCTGCAAAGGCAACAGGGCCATGATTTTCAAGTAAAAGGTAGAAAAACGTCCTTGAAGAATGTAATAAAGAAAAAGAAGGAAGATGGGAGAGGTTAGAAACTTAAGATTTATGTTAAACTTGGCAAGCAAGAAGTAGGTGTTACCAAAATAAATAAGTAGCTCTGGAACTAAAGCCCAGTGTATTAGATTATGATATTTCAAGTTTCAAGGCAAATGTGATCTTATGATCTTCCCATATGTCCAAGTAGGAGAAACTAAAATTTGAGTTTTTCTAGCTACAGATCTTAATGACATTTTTAAAGGTTGGAAATTTAGAGCCAAGTGTGCCTGGTTGATTTTCAGAGCAGAAATTATTCTGAGGACCTGTAGTTGCTGGCAGGGTTCCCTTAGTTCTTAATTTCCACCTTTGCCCCCAGACTTCTCTCAGGGAGATATGTGCATGCCTGACACCCAAGCATCCACAGGAGTTTCCTTTTAATTCCCCAGGTCGCAGTGGCTGCTCCCTCTAAAAGGGGTTAGGGAGAAGCAAAGCAACTCCAGAAAAAAAGATGGGGAACTAGATGAAACAAGAATGGCAAAATATTGATAGTCATTTGAACAGAGTGGGGGTGGCTTGGGAGTTTATTACGCTGTTCACTTTACTTTTGTGTGGTTGAAATTTTTCATATTAAAATTTAAAAGAGAAAAAAATCAGAAAGCAAGAGATTATATTTGAATAAGAAAGTCAAAGCCTTCTGAGAGCAGCACATGCCAGGAGCTGACCTTTGAAAATAAAAACAATCCAGTTTTTTTTCGTAATTTTTGAATTTTATTTTATTTATTTTTTATACAGCAGGTTCTTATTATTTATCTATTTTATATATATTAGTGTATACATGTCAGTCCCAACCTCCCAATTCATCACACCACCACCACCCCCCGCCACCGCTTTCCCCCCTTGGTGTCCATACATTTGTTCTCTACATCTGTGTCTCTATTTGTGCCTTGCAGACTGGTTCATCTGTACCATTTTTCTAGGTTCCACATATATGCGTTAATATGCGATATTTGTTTTTCTCTTTCTGACTTACTTCACTCTGTATGACAGTCTCTAGATCCATCCATGTCTCTACAAATGATCCAGTTTCATTCCTTTTTATGGCTGAGTAACATTCCATTGTATATATGTACCACATCTTCTTCATCCATTTGTCTGTCGATGGGCATTTAGGTTGCATCCATGACCTGGCTATTGTAAGTAGTGCTGCAGTGAACATTGGGGTGCATGTGTCTTTTTGAATTATGGTTTCCTCTGGGTATATGCCCAGCAATCCAGATTTTTGAACTTAAAAAAAAAAAAAGTTGGACTTATTCTTCTCATTCAGTTATTTACAGAGGGCCTACTATGTGCCATGTACCATTCTAGACGGTGAACAAAACATAAAAACCCCTGCCTTTTGGAAAGCTTTACATTATGTGCAGTAAATATATCATTAAATATAGAATATGTCTGATGGTGGTAAGTGCTATGTAGAAAAATGAGACGCAGAGATGATGTTGGGGGTTGCATCATCTGGGGTGGCCAGGGAAGACTTCATAGAGAAGGTGACCTTTCAGCAGAGAC